ATAATTCTCACTCTGAAATTTAAATAATTAATGTACTTATTTTGATCAAACTTTTAAAGCGCAGTTTTCCATACTTATCGTAAGTTTTTCACACTTGTCGTATATATTTTCGACACTTATCGTATATTTTAAATTTTGCTTTAGTCCCCGGAGTAAAATGCGTTCGCGGTGTCAAACGAAAAATTAATTCATTAGTAACATTTTATTAAACGTTTTTATATGTATAAATAAAAAAAAAAAGACTGTTAAATAAACATTAATTATATAGTAATAAAAATATTATTATGAATTAAAATTAAAGATTTTAAAGCCATTACTTTAGTACATATTCTTTAAGTTCTTAAACTTGAAAGGATAGAGTTTCATCATAACTATCAGAGTTTATTTTATAATTAATATCCATATTTAAATGGAACTCGTTTTCTGACTCAGTTTCAAGGCTTTCTTTTTCTTTTGCAACTTTTTTTTTCAAAATTTTCATGTTTTCTCTTTCTTTTTAAGTTTTTTCATTTAATAACTTTTTCTCCATTGCTAATTATTGCTTTATTAATCTTTCTTTCTCTAAATATTATATGACTTTTTATCTACAGCTAATTGTTTCTTTCTTAATTTTTCATCATTTATTTGTGACTTTTCTTGCACTTTTGCCTTCTAAATTTACTGCCACATTTCAGATGTTACAACCGATGGTAAAAGTTCTACTTTGCAATTGGACATTTGGACTGGTTGCTTTGGCTATATTAAAACACTTTCAACTTGAATAATGATTTCTGCTGCTATTTTTAAACTGAAAGAAGCTAGTTTTGGTTTTATTACAGCTGCGTTATTGTAATCAGGCATTTTCATATTGGTTATACCTTTTCTAAATTTTTTTCACATTTTCTAAATTACAAGTTGTTGATAGATTTTTTTTTATACCCTGTTGTATTTCATCAGGTAAAGGTATGGTCTTAAATGCTTCAGATGTTTTGAATTTGCTGCGACATTATCTGAATGGTCTTATATGCTTCAGATAATAGCATACTTTTACCTCTTTTCCAAATATGATACAATTGGAGGTATTCAAGATCACCTTTCCAACCTAAACATTCGTCAGCTATTTTAAACTGCTATAAAATCAATGCACTTTTCAATAAAGATTATGGAAGAGGAAGCTGATAAAATCACACTTAAATGGTTCTCTTCTAAATAAGCAGCCGGCGCAACAGTTGCGCCAGATAATTTTTGAGCAATTTTTTTGTAGTTAATACTACAAGCATCAAATGGACAAATTCCGGTATTTTTAAACTACTTTTAATATTATTTACCTAAAGAAGGATTGATTATAAAAGAATTTAATGCTTCTGGTACATTTTCATTTTTTTTTCTTGTCCTTCATGGTCAATGCACCATTGCGGCAAAAAGATTTCCACTTTGCTTTTATTGGCCCAAAAACTGCCACATCGAGCGGCTGCGGTAAAACCTACGATAAGTGTTGACTCACGGTAGGTGTGGAAACTACCTTAATTCTAGTGTTGTTACAACTATTAAATAACTCGACTGTCGACTAAATAGAATTACTTTGCGCTTTAAAGCTATGACCAATTAATAAAAAAAACAATGGTTGAACGCTAAGAGAAAATTGTATGAATTTTAAAATTAATTGATGAATGCAAATTTGGTTGAGAATAGTAAAAGAAATATTTTATAAACTTGCTGCTCTCACGTTTGGGCCAGGTGTAGCTAAAATATTAGAGTTTTTTTGTACCCAGGCTCCTATCATCACAATTTTTTGCAAAGCATTTTCGTCTGATATAAGTATAATCATATAAATATTAGGAGTTTCCTTCATGTCTTGAAGTTAGTTATCTCAAACATCAAAAAATGCTACATCCGCCCCTGCAAAGTCTTAACAATGCGAATGTACAGATGACAGTTAGATTTTGGAGCTTTACAACTTAGTTTCGCCGCAGGGCCCTGAGCCAGCTTGGAACGGCCCGGTATGAAAGTATTTATAAAAATCAAAAGCATCGAGTAAACAAAAGGAGGAAAAAAATGTTAATGAAATACATAACCGAAAGTTTAATTAGGCATAGTTTTTTTTTTGTAGTTATTGAAGTGCTTAAAGAACGAATGCTTCAAAAACAATGACATTTAAAAATAGCAAACCATTTATTTTAAGGTAATTTCATTTTTTAATGATGTCAGATTTATGTGACACAATTAAAAAGATTATTGTAAGATTTTGGTGAAAAAAAATGTAAGTAAATTATTGATAATATTATATATAATCAGTATTGATTAGTAAAAAACCAACAATGGAAAAAATATTTATTTAGTAACCCAAGATCGCTAAATTATAAAAAAAAAAGTCTATTAAATTTATATCTGTTAACATAAAAAAAACATTTAAAAATACTTAAACTATTTTGTTTTTATATTTATAAAAATGAAAAGTTTAAAAAACAAAAAAAATTTATCATGTTTGACGTTGGAACCCAAAAAAATGTCGGTACAGAGAACAACGCCCTAAACCATTAGGCTACTGAAGATTATGTTATATTGAAAAAAAAATTATTATATAACCTTTTTATACCGATTGTATTAATTCAACACTTTATAGACGGGTAAACTCTGAACAAGTATAATTATATTGCATAGCAGCTTTGCATAGAAATATTTAAAAGAAATATTTAAAAAATAATATTTTATTAATAATAAAAAAAATGTATAAAAATTATATTTAAATCAATTATAACTAAACAGAATTTATTAATAGAGATGTAATATGCAAATGCAAAGGGCAATATTTAATATTCAAATGTAAAAAATTTACTTTTATAACATTATGTAAAAATTTATGTAAGCATAAGCGCCGCATAAATTGTGACTAGGGGTATACAAAAAACTACCTTACTGACTAGGAATATCGAAAAAAGCAAATTTTCTACATTTCTTTTAGAATAGCACGGAAGAATCGACACATAGGTAACTTCAGTTCAAAATTTTACCACCATAGAATAATTTCTTCTGCAAGGGATGTAAAATTTCAAATATTCTGTTAAATCTTCAACTATTTTTTATGTTTGAAAAAATTTTTAAATGTCACAGCACTTTGCTGTAGTATGCAAAAGTTGCACTTATGTAAGGTTAACTACTGTGTAGAATTTAACGCCCCACTAACAATATGTTCTGTTCTGGCAAAGAGTTTCAAAACATTTACATAAAAAGTTGACAAACACACTGTTTTTCATAAATTAACTAACATTTATTAAACATAAACCAAAACTGTCGTGTACTCGAATACTATAATATATAAGATTACTATAATATATAAGATAAGAAATAAGTGTTAGGTCTTTAGGTTTTGTACTGTCTCTTGCATCTAAAATCAGGCATGGCTTTTTTTGATTTCAGAGTGGAGCAAATAAATCCATCCCGTTATTTAGAACATATACTTTCTTCGGGGCCTCTGTAACTAATTTTACTGTTCTTTCTACAGCTTATGTGTGATATGGGATCTTAGTAAAAGCACAATTAATTGGTATTGGTTTTTCCAGCATAGTTTTTAAAAATTCTATTGTCACATCATTTAAAATTGGTGTAGCTACTTTGCTGAACAACCAGTTAATTAGTTTGATAAAGTCGTTTGCTTCAAAGTTTTTTTTTGAAATATTAAACTTGCGATTTTCAATTCTAACTGTCTCCATTTTCCAACCGTCTCTAGCTGTCTTACCTAATTCTCATGCTTTATGGCTCTTTGAATGCCAAGGGTTTTGATATGTGCTCTCTTATGATTTCTCTCTATTGATTTTTGATTTTTTTCGAGAAAAAAATTGGGGAGTTACTAAAAGTTGCAAAAATTGATGGAGAATCCAAATATATTTTTAAAAAATGAATTGAAAAATTTTTTGCTTAGGTAATTTAACTTTTTATATTTCAATAAAATTTTGACCTGGTTTCTCAAAAAGACCCGGTTTTTACTTGGAAATTAATAAGCTTTTTCTCTACTTAGTTTGATAAATATCAGTTGAAATATAAATGTTGATTAAAACTAATTTTAGATATTATAATACTTTCTTTAAGAATTTGTATTAAAATATATATGAAATATTTCTTATTTCAAAATTAGACTTTGAGATTAATTTTTAATATGCATATCAATTTAAAATTGAAATTAGATAGAGAGTAATTTATAAATGTTAAAATATTTTTCAATGTATTTTAAATACAGTTTGCCTTAACATCGCGTAATAAGTTTATTTGTATTGATGCTAGAAATACAGCAAGATATTAAAAAAAAAAAAAACCGAATTATTTCAATAAATATTATAAATCTAATACAAAAACATTTGTGTCAAACTTTCAAGGTTTTGTTTACTATTATTTTTAAGCATTAACTTTCTACTCGCCTCTTGAGTTCGGACAAATCCTTCTCTCATTTCATGAGTGTACACTCTTTTAGAAGCTTCTGTAACTTGCTTTATACAACGTTCAACAGATTGTCCATGAAATGGCCAAATTGGCACCAGCATAGGATTTGATAAAAACACATTAATTTCAGAAGTTGTTAGAAACAAGTTTTTTTCCTAATTTTATTTCTATATGTTTGATGACTCCACCCTCCTAACCGGTGTTTATATTTGTAGAGTCTCCACCAACAGCCAGTAAAGACTTGTCAATACCTCTCTCAGTCAGCCATTCAACAATTTTATTTTCTATAATCTCTGCATGTTTAACACTTTTTGTTGCTTTCTTAGGAGTAAAGTGAAACAAGTATTTTCCTCCAGGTTCCATACAAAAAGAGTAATGTTCTTCTTTCACTGTTACTGGAAATTTTGAATTTGAGTCATCAAGTTCAATCATTTGCTTGGTTTGATCAATTCTCCCATCAAAAAATATGTATTTCACTTCTCCATTTTTTGCTATTTTGTCAAAATCCTTACTAAGATAAGAGATTTTCTCTTGCACTCTCGAAACTTTACTATGGTCAAAAATTAACTTTTTATCATCAGATGTTATTAATCATGCATCAATTAGTGTTGCTGTAGCAATTGCAGCTGTAGCACGTGCAGATACCCCATATCTATGTGAGCAAAATTTACATAGAAATAGAATTACTTTTAAATAAAAAATCATCATTGACTAAGTTCATATATATATATATATATATATATATATATATATATATATATATATATATATATATATATATATATATATATATATATATATATATATATATATATATATATATATATATATATATATATATATATATATATATATATATATATATATATATATATATACATACATATATATACATATATATATATACATATATATATATATATATATATATATATATATATATATATATATATATATATATATATACATATATATATATATATATATACATATATACACATTTATAAGGATAAATACATTACTAAAAAACAAATTTATTTAAAAAGAACTATATCTTATGCTATTCATAGCTATGTGTGAAATATCTAAGGTATCGTAACACTTTTTTTTTCCTGATGATTTCTCTAGTACTAGAGGTAATTCTACATAAGTAATATCATCAATGTTATCATTTAATTCTATTTCATTACTAAAATCACTTTCTTTTTAAAAGTTTATCTGATCTGACTCAATTTTCTGTTTTTTAGTTAAAATAACAATGCGGTCTTTATTCTCAAAATATTTTTCTCTATCTTTTCTTAGTAATCTTTTATACTGTTTCCTGGTTTCAATACTATTAGGTAATCCAATTTAAAACTTGCTAACAGTTCAAGTTTTAATTCTTTGAAAATATATAAACTTAACGTCAATAGATGGTATTTTGTTCTCTTTGATACATTTCCATTTCCAATGAACTTATTTATCACAATCATCAGAACAAATAAAATCATCACATTTTACAATTGGACATTTGCATACTAGTATATCAAAATGTTTATCAAGTTTTTCTTTAAATTTTATTATTTGTTTAGCTCCTTTTTTTCTTCGACTAGCTATTGCTGAAGCGTTGTTCCACAAAGACAGTATTTTATCACAAATTGTTTTGTCAGTAATTAATTTAGGCGATGTAAATTCCAAATTTGCACTCGACCACTGGTGTAATAAAGCTGGAAGTATATCTTTGGCCATCTCTTTTACAGGATAATTTTTTTTTTTATGTCTTCGCAGCCCTCTCTTAATAAAATTACATATCTTATAACATCTCTGTTGGTTAGTAATTCTGAAACTAGAAATTGTTTTCCTGTAGATTTAGAAATATGAAGAAATTCATTTTTGTCTTACTTTCAGCACGTACTTGAAGCTTTTTGGCTTTTGGCAAATAGAGCAATTCAATACACATTAAGCCCTTTGTTCTCTGATCAGCAAGAAATATCTGTACCTTAAAAGGAACCTTGATATCCTCCCAACAACTGCAGTCTTAAAATGCAGAGCACATACAAGCTGCTATATCCAAAAAAAAGTGATTCTTCTTTAAACTTTCCTACGCTTGTTTTAGACGCCAAGCTTTTCTCTATTCTCTTATAAACAGACTTGATATTAATATAGTTCTTGTGATACACATGAACCATATCAAGGACACGATTTTTTAAAACTACAGAAATGGATGCATGAAAATACAGCACTTGCAGCTATACACATGCTTGCTCTGCGATGGAAGAAAATGAGTGTTCCTAGTTACCAGATGTTTTAGATCCAAGAAGTGAACTTTTGTGAATGCAGCATTTAATAACATCCTCTTTCGTACAAAGCATCCTTGCAAAATCTGTCGGTAATCCAAACATTGGGCAACCTTTTCCTTAGTTTTGAAACTTTGAAGATTTTACAATTTATTATTTTTAAAAGAACATATTGTCTGTGTTGTGGAGTTTTGCACCGTAAGTAACCATACTTAAAAGGTGCAACTTTTGCACACTATCGCAAATTACCGATGTGACATTTAAAAACTTTTTCAAACAAAAAAAAAAAAATCTAAGATTTAACAAAATTTTTGAAATTTCACAACCCTTACCAAAGCAGAAAACATTCTCCTAGGGTAGTGAAATCTTAAACAGAAAATACTTAGGTACAGAGTCAACTTTTACGAACTACCCTAAAAGCATTGTATTATGATGTACTCAGCAAAAAACCATTATTACGTTGGGGGTTACTAGAAAAAAAGAATAACGCTGTAGAGCAAAACAGTTGACAGTAAACTTAAAAAGTTGAAATAAATATGATTCAGGAAAACATAAAGATGAGAGAAAGTACCAAAGAGTTGATGTACAGGCATATTAAAATTTTTAAATGATTGCAGGAACAGATACAAAAACAAAATTAAACTTGTCTGAGTGACGAGTCAAGCAAGAATAAAGTAAAAATGACAAAACTAGAGATAATAGCACCATAGAGCAGCAACTATGATCATATTTGTAAAAAAGAGAAAGAGATAAAACCTTACAAAAATAGAAAAGAGACTCAGATTAGAAGAAAAAGCAGGGCAATTATTTTCACAATGAGTTTTTAAACCTTTTCTATAATGAGAAATAGCATCATAAGAAGAACTAGCAGAAATAAGACAACAGTATTACAAACATTAACCTATAAAATAATTTAAAATATATAGAAAGGAGGTAGTAATAAAAAAAGCAATAAAAACTACAAGATATCTAAAGATATCAAAAAAATTAATTAATGAAAAAAAAAAAATTATGCGATTATAACATTAAAAAAAAAATACTAACCTGGAAAAGCAGTAGATACTGAGGTGGAGGTATGAGAAATAACTGAAGTAACAACGGAAGAACTAAAAAATCCGATTGTAGATGAAGAAAACTCAAAAGTAGCAGTTGATGTGTCAGTTGTCGGGGTTGATGGGGTGTCAGTAGAAGTAGATGAAGTATCGGTAGAACTTGTTGTTGATTCTGTTGAAGTTGTTGATGTGTCAGTTGTCGGGGTTGATGGGGTGTCAGTAGAAGTAGATGAAGTATCGGTAGAACTTGTTGTTGATTCTGTTGAAGTTGTTGATGTGTCAGTTGTCGGGGTTGATGGGGTGTCAGTAGAAGTAGATGAAGTATCGGTAGAACTTGTTGTTGATTCTGTTGAAGTTGTTGATGTGTCAGTTGTCGGGGTTGATGGGGTGTCAGTAGAAGTAGATGAAGTATCGGTAGAACTTGTTGTTGATTCTGTTGAAGTTGTTGATGTGTCAGTTGTCGGGGTTGATGGGGTGTCAGTAGAAGTAGATGAAGTATCGGTAGAACTTGTTGTTGATTCTGTTGAAGTTGTTGATGTGTCAGTTGTCGGGGTTGATGGGGTGTCAGTAGAAGTAGATGAAGTATCGGTAGAACTTGTTGTTGATTCTGTTGAAGTTGTTGATGTGTCAGTTGTCGGGGTTGATGGGGTGTCAGTAGAAGTAGATGAAGTATCGGTAGAACTTGTTGTTGATTCTGTTGAAGTTGTTGATGTGTCAGTTGTCGGGGTTGATGGGGTGTCAGTAGAAGTAGATGAAGTATCGGTAGAACTTGTTGTTGATTCTGTTGAAGTTGTTGATGTGTCAGTTGTCGGGGTTGATGGGGTGTCAGTAGAAGTAGATGAAGTATCGGTAGAACTTGTTGTTGATTCTGTTGAAATTGTTGATGTGTCAGTTGTCGGGGTTGATGGGGTGTCAGTAGAAGTAGATGAAGTATCGGTAGAACTTGTTGTTGATTCTGTTGAAGTTGTTGATGTGTCAGTTGTCGGGGTTGATGGGGTGTCAGTAGAAGTAGATGAAGTATCGGTAGAACTTGTTGTTGATTCTGTTGAAGTTGTTGATGTGTCAGTTGTCGGGGTTGATGGGGTGTCAGTAGAAGTAGATGAAGAATCGGTAGAACTTGTTGTTGATTCTGTTGAAGTTGTTGATGTGTCAGTTGTCGGAGTTGATGGGGTGTCAGTAGAAGTAGATGAAGTATCGGTAGAACTTGTTGTTGATTCTGTTGAAGTTGTTGATGTGTCAGTTGTCGGGGTTGATGGGGTGTCAGTAGAAGTAGATGAAGTATCAGTAGAACTTGTTGTTGATTCTGTTGAAGTTGTTGATGTGTCAGTTGTCGGGGTTGATGGGGTGTCAGTAGAAGTAGATGAAGTATCGGTAGAACATGTTGTTGATTCTGTTGAAGTTGTTGATGTGTCAGTTGTCGGGGTTGATGGGGTGTCAGTAGAAGTAGATGAAGTATCGGTAGAACTTGTTGTTGATTCTGTTGAAGTTGTTGATGTGTCAGTTGTCGGGGTTGATGGGGTGTCAGTAGAAGTAGATGAAGTATCGGTAGAACTTGTTGTTGATTCTGTTGAAGTTGTTGATGTGTCAGTTGTCGGGGTTGATGGGGTGTCAGTAGAAGTAGATGAAGTATCGGTAGAACTTGTTGTTGATTCTGTTGAAGTTGTTGATGTGTCAGTTGTCGGGGTTGATGGGGTGTCAGTAAAAGTAGATGAAGTATCGGTAGAACTTGTTGTTGATTCTGTTGAAGTTGTTGATGTGTCAATTGTCGGGGTTGATGGGGTGCCAGTAGAAGTAGATGAAGTATCGGTAGAACTTGTTGTTGATTCTGTTGAAGTTGTTGATGTGTCAGTTGTCGGGGTTGATGGGGTGTCAGTAGAAGTAGATGAAGTATCGGTAGAACTTGTTGTTGATTCTGTTGAAGTTGTTGATGTGTCAGTTGTCGGGGTTGATGGGGTGTCAGTAGAAGTAGATGAAGTATCGGTAGAACTTGTTGTTGATTCTGTTGAAGTTGTTGATGTGTCAGTTGTCGGGGTTGATGGGGTGTCAGTAGAAGTAGATGAAGTATCGGTAGAACTTGCTGTTGATTCTGTTGAAGTTGTTGATGTGTCAGTTGTCGGGGTTGATGGGGTGTCAGTAGAAGTAGATGAAGTATCGGTAGAACTTGTTGTTGATTCTGTTGAAGTTGTTGATGTGTCAGTTGTCGGGGTTGATGGGGTGTCAGAAGAAGTAGATGAAGTATCGGTAGAACTTGTTGTTGATTCTGTTGAAGTTGTTGATGTGTCAGTTGTCGGGGTTGATGGGGTGTCAGTAGAAGTAGATGAAGTATCGGTAGAACTTGTTGTTGATTCTGTTGAAGTTGTTGATGTGTCAGTTGTCGGGGTTGATGGGGTGTCAGTAGAAGTAGATGAAGTATCGGTAGAACTTGCTGTTGATTCTGTTGAAGTTGTTGATGTGTCAGTTGTCGGGGTTGATGGGGTGTCAGTAGAAGTAGATGAAGTATCGGTAGAACTTGTTGTTGATTCTGTTGAAGTTGTTGATGTGTCAGTTGTCGGGGTTGATGGGGTGTCAGTAGAAGTAGATGAAGTATCGGTAGAACTTGTTGTTGATTCTGTTGAAGTTGTTGATGTGTCAGTTGTCGGGGTTGATGGGGTGTCAGTAGAAGTAGATGAAGTATCGGTAGAACTTGTTGTTGATTCTGTTGAAGTTGTTGATGTGTCAGTTGTCGGGGTTGATGGGGTGTCAGTAGAAGTAGATGAAGTATCGGTAGAACTTGTTGTTGATTCTGTTGAAGTTGTTGATGTGTCAGTTGTCGGGGTTGATGGGGTGTCAGTAGAAGTAGATGAAGTATCGGTAGAACTTGTTGTTGATTCTGTTGAAGTTGTTGATGTGTCAGTTGTCGGGGTTGATGGGGTGTCAGTAGAAGTAGATGAAGTATCGGTAGAACTTGTTGTTGATTCTGTTGAAGTTGTTGATGTGTCAGTTGTCGGGGTTGATGGGGTGTCAGTAGAAGTAGATGAAGTATCGGTAGAACTTGTTGTTGATTCTGTTGAAGTTGTTGATGTGTCAGTTGTCGGGGTTGATGGGGTGTCAGTAGAAGTAGATGAAGTATCGGTAGAACTTGTTGTTGATTCTGTTGAAGTTGTTGATGTGTCAGTTGTCGGGGTTGATGGGGTGTCAGTAGAAGTAGATGAAGTATCGGTAGAACTTGTTGTTGATTCTGTTGAAATTGTTGATGTGTCAGTTGTCGGGGTTGATGGGGTGTCAGTAGAAGTAGATGAAGTATCGGTAGAACTTGTTGTTGATTCTGTTGAAGTTGTTGATGTGTCAGTTGTCGGGGTTGATGGGGTGTCAGTAGAAGTAGATGAAGTATCGGTAGAACTTGTTGTTGATTCTGTTGAAGTTGTTGATGTGTCAGTTGTCGGGGTTGATGGGGTGTCAGTAGAAGTAGATGAAGAATCGGTAGAACTTGTTGTTGATTCTGTTGAAGTTGTTGATGTGTCAGTTGTCGGAGTTGATGGGGTGTCAGTAGAAGTAGATGAAGTATCGGTAGAACTTGTTGTTGATTCTGTTGAAGTTGTTGATGTGTCAGTTGTCGGGGTTGATGGGGTGTCAGTAGAAGTAGATGAAGTATCAGTAGAACTTGTTGTTGATTCTGTTGAAGTTGTTGATGTGTCAGTTGTCGGGGTTGATGGGGTGTCAGTAGAAGTAGATGAAGTATCGGTAGAACTTGTTGTTGATTCTGTTGAAGTTGTTGATGTGTCAGTTGTCGGGGTTGATGGGGTGTCAGTAGAAGTAGATGAAGTATCGGTAGAACTTGTTGTTGATTCTGTTGAAGTTGTTGATGTGTCAGTTGTCGGGGTTGATGGGGTGTCAGTAGAAGTAGATGAAGTATCGGTAGAACTTGTTGTTGATTCTGTTGAAGTTGTTGATGTGTCAGTTGTCGGGGTTGATGGGGTGTCAGTAGAAGTAGATGAAGTATCGGTAGAACTTGTTGTTGATTCTGTTGAAGTTGTTGATGTGTCAGTTGTCGGGGTTGATGGGGTGTCAGTAAAAGTAGATGAAGTATCGGTAGAACTTGTTGTTGATTCTGTTGAAGTTGTTGATGTGTCAATTGTCGGGGTTGATGGGGTGCCAGTAGAAGTAGATGAAGTATCGGTAGAACTTGTTGTTGATTCTGTTGAAGTTGTTGATGTGTCAGTTGTCGGGGTTGATGGGGTGTCAGTAGAAGTAGATGAAGTATCGGTAGAACTTGTTGTTGATTCTGTTGAAGTTGTTGATGTGTCAGTTGTCGGGGTTGATGGGGTGTCAGTAGAAGTAGATGAAGTATCGGTAGAACTTGTTGTTGATTCTGTTGAAGTTGTTGATGTGTCAGTTGTCGGGGTTGATGGGGTGTCAGTAGAAGTAGATGAAGTATCGGTAGAACTTGCTGTTGATTCTGTTGAAGTTGTTGATGTGTCAGTTGTCGGGGTTGATGGGGTGTCAGTAGAAGTAGATGAAGTATCGGTAGAACTTGTTGTTGATTCTGTTGAAGTTGTTGATGTGTCAGTTGTCGGGGTTGATGGGGTGTCAGAAGAAGTAGATGAAGTATCGGTAGAACTTGTTGTTGATTCTGTTGAAGTTGTTGATGTGTCAGTTGTCGGGGTTGATGGGGTGTCAGTAGAAGTAGATGAAGTATCGGTAGAACTTGTTGTTGATTCTGTTGAAGTTGTTGATGTGTCAGTTGTCGGGGTTGATGGGGTGTCAGTAGAAGTAGATGAAGTATCGGTAGAACTTGCTGTTGATTCTGTTGAAGTTGTTGATGTGTCAGTTGTCGGGGTTGATGGGGTGTCAGTAGAAGTAGATGAAGTATCGGTAGAACTTGTTGTTGATTCTGTTGAAGTTGTTGATGTGTCAGTTGTCGGGGTTGATGGGGTGTCAGTAGAAGTAGATGAAGTATCAGTAGAACTTGTTGTTGATTCTGTTGAAGTTGTTGATGTGTCAGTTGTCGGGGTTGATGGGGTGTCAGTAGAAGTAGATGAAGTATCGGTAGAAATTGTTGTTGATTCTGTTGAAGTTGTTGATGTGTCAGTTGTCGGGGTTGATGGGGTGTCAGTAGAAGTAGATGAAGTATCGGTAGAAATTGTTGTTGATTCTGTTGAAGTTGTTGATGTGTCAGTTGTCGGGGTTGATGGGGTGTCAGAAGAAGTAGATGAAGTATCGGTAGAACTTGTTGTTGATTCTGTTGAAGTTGTTGATGTGTCAGTTGTCGGGGTTGATGGGGTGTCAGTAAAAGTAGATGAAGTATCGGTAGAACTTGTTGTTGATTCTGTTGAAGTTGTTGATGTGTCAGTTGTCGGGGTTGATGGGGTGTCAGTAAAAGTAGATGAAGTATCGGTAGAACTTGTTGTTGATTCTGTTGAAGTTGTTGATGTGTCAGTTGTCGGGGTTGATGGGGTGCCAGTAGAAGTAGATGAAGTATCGGTAGAACTTGTTGTTGATTCTGTTGAAGTTGTTGATGTGTCAGTTGTCGGGGTTGATGGGGTGTCAGTAGAAGTAGATGAAGTATCGGTAGAACTTGTTGTTGATTCTGTTGAAGTTGTTGATGTGTCAGTTGTCGGGGTTGATGGGGTGTCAGTAGAAGTAGATGAAGTATCGGTAGAACTTGTTGTTGATTCTGTTGAAGTTGTTGATGTGTCAGTTGTCGGGGTTGATGGGGTGTCAGTAGAAGTAGATGAAGTATCGGTAGAACTTGTTGTTGATTCTGTTGAAGTTGTTGATGTGTCAGTTGTCGGGGTTGATGGGGTGTCAGTAGAAGTAGATGAAGTATCGGTAGAACTTGTTGTTGATTCTGTTGAAGTTGTTGATGTGTCAGTTGTCGGGGTTGATGGGGTGTCAGTAGAAGTAGATGAAGTATCGGTAGAACTTGTTGTTGATTCTGTTGAAGTTGTTGATGTGTCAGTTATCGGGGTTGATGGGGTGTCAGTAGAAGTAGATGAAGTATCGGTAGAACTTGTTGTTGATTCTGTTGAAGTTGTTGATGTGTCAGTTGTCGGGGTTGATGGGGTGTCAGTAGAAGTAGATGAAGTATCGGTAGAACTTGTTGTTGATTCTGTTGAAGTTGTTGATGTGTCAGTTGTCGGGGTTGATGGGGTGTCAGTAGAAGTAGATGAAGTATCGGTAGAACTTGTTGTTGATTCTGTTGAAGTTGTTGATGTGTCAGTTGTCGGGGTTGATGGGGTGTCAGTAGAAGTAGATGAAGTATCGGTAGAACTTGTTGTTGATTCTGTTGAAGTTGTTGATGTGTCAGTTGTCGGGGTTGATGGGGTGTCAGTAGAAGTAGATGAAGTATCGGTAGAACTTGTTGTTGATTCTGTTGAAGTTGTTGATGTGTCAGTTGTCGGGGTTGATGGGGTGTCAGTAGAAGTAGATGAAGTATCGGTAGAACTTGTTGTTGATTCTGTTGAAGTTGTTGATGTGTCAGTTGTCGGGGTTGATGGGGTGTCAGTAGAAGTAGATGAAGTATCGGTAGAACTTGTTGTTGATTCTGTTGAAATTGTTGATGTGTCAGTTGTCGGGGTTGATGGGGTGTCAGTAGAAGTAGATGAAGTATCGGTAGAACTTGTTGTTGATTCTGTTGAAGTTGTTGATGTGTCAGTTGTCGGGGTTGATGGGGTGTCAGTAGAAGTAGATGAAGTATCGGTAGAACTTGTTGTTGATTCTGTTGAAGTTGTTGATGTGTCAGTTGTCGGGGTTGATGGGGTGTCAGTAGAAGTAGATGAAGAATCGGTAGAACTTGTTGTTGATTCTGTTGAAGTTGTTGATGTGTCAGTTGTCGGGGTTGATGGGGTGTCAGTAGAAGTAGATGAAGTATCGGTAGAACTTGTTGTTGATTCTGTTGAAGTTGTTGATGTGTCAGTTGTCGGGGTTGATGGGGTGTCAGTAGAAGTAGATGAAGTATCGGTAGAACTTGTTGTTGATTCTGTTGAAGTTGTTGATGTGTCAGTTGTCGGGGTTGATGGGGTGTCAGTAGAAGTAGATGAAGTATCGGTAGAACTTGTTGTTGATTCTGTTGAAGTTGTTGATGTGTCAGTTGTCGGGGTTGATGGGGTGTCAGTAGAAGTAGATGAAGTATCAGTAGAACTTGTTGTTGATTCTGTTGAAGTTGTTGATGTGTCAGTTGTCGGGGTTGATGGGGTGTCAGTAGAAGTAGATGAAGTATCGGTAGAACTTGTTGTTGATTCTGTTGAAGTTGTTGATGTGTCAGTTGTCGGGGTTGATGGGGTGTCAGTAGAAGTAGATGAAGTATCGGTAGAACTTGTTGTTGATTCTGTTGAAGTTGTGGATGTGTCAGTTGTCGGGGTTGATGGGGTGTCAGTAGAAGTAGATGAAGTATCGGTAGAACTTGTTGTTGATTCTGTTGAAGTTGTTGATGTGTCAGTTGTCGGGGTTGATGGGGTGTCAGTAGAAGTAGATGAAGTATCGGTAGATCTTGTTGTTGATTCTGTTGAAGTTGTTGATGTGTCAGTTGTCGGGGTTGATGGGGTGTCAGTAGAAGTAGATGAAGTATCGGTAGAACTTGTTGTTGATTCTGTTGAAGTTGTTGATGTGTCAGTTGTCGGGGTTGATGGGGTGTCAGTAGAAGTAGATGAAGTATCGGTAGAACTTGCTGTTGATTCTGTTGAAGTTGTTGATGTGTCAGTTGTCGGGGTTGATGGGGTGTCAGTAGAAGTAGATGAAGTATCGGTAGAACTTGCTGTTGATTCTGTTGAAGTTGTTGATGTGTCAGTTGTCGGGGTTGATGGGGTGTCAGTAGAAGTAGATGAAGTATCGGTAGAACTTGCTGTTGATTCTGTTGAAGTTGTTGATGTGTCAGTTGTCGGGGTTGATGGGGTGTCAGTAGAAGTAGATGAAGTATCGGTAGAACTTGCTGTTGATTCTGTTGAAGTTGTTGATGTGTCAGTTGTCGGGGTTGATGGGGTGTCAGTAGAAGTAGATGAAGTATCGGTAGAACTTGCTGTTGATTCTGTTGAAGTTGTTGATGTGTCAGTTGTCGGGGTTGATGGGGTGTCAGTAGAAGTAGATGAAGTATCGGTAGAACTTGTTGTTGATTCTGTTGAAGTTGTTGATGTGTCAGTTGTCGGGGTTGATGGGGTGTCAGTAGAAGTAGATGAAGTATCGGTAGAACTTGTTGTTGATTCTGTTGAAGTTGTTGATGTGTCAGTTGTCGGGGTTGATGGGGTGTCAGTAGAAGTAGATGAAGTATCGGTAGAACTTGTTGTTGATTCTGTTGAAGTTGTTGATGTGTCAGTTGTCGGGGTTGATGGGGTGTCAGTAGAAGTAGATGAAGTATCGGTAGAACTTGTTGTTGATTCTGTTGAAGTTGTTGATGTGTCAGTTGTCGGGGTTGATGGGGTGTCAGTAGAAGTAGATGAAGTATCGGTAGAACTTGCTGTTGATTCTGTTGAAGTTGTTGATGTGTCAGTTGTCGGGGTTGATGGGGTGTCAGTAGAAGTAGATGAAGTATCGGTAGAACTTGTTGTTGATTCTGTTGAAGTTGTTGATGTGTCAGTTGTCGGGGTTGATGGGGTGTCAGTAGAAGTAGATGAAGTATCGGTAGAACTTGTTGTTGATTCTGTTGAAGTTGTTGATGTGTAAGTTGTCGGGGTTGATGGGGTGTCAGTAGAAGTAGATGAAGTATCGGTAGAACTTGTTGTTGATTCTGTTGAAGTTGTTGATGTGTCAGTTGTCGGGGTTGATGGGGTGTCAGTAGAAGTAGATGAAGTATCGGTAGAACTTGTTGTTGATTCTGTTGAAGTTGTTGATGTGTCAGTTGTCGGGGTTGATGGGGTGTCAGTAGAAGTAGATGAAGTATCGGTAGAACTTGTTGTTGATTCTGTTGAAGTTGTTGATGTGTCAGTTGTCGGGGTTGATGGGGTGCCAGTAGAAGTAGATGAAGTATCGGTAGAACTTGTTGTTGATTCTGTTGAAGTTGTTGATGTGTCAGTTGTCGGGGTTGATGGGGTGTCAGTAGAAGTAGATGAAGTATCGGTAGAACTTGTTGTTGATTCTGTTGAAGGTGTTGATGTGTCAGTTGTCGGGGTTGATGGGGTGTCAGTAGAAGTAGATGAAGTATCGGTAGAACTTGTTGTTGATTCTGTTGAAGTTGTTGATGTGTCAGTTGTCGGGGTTGATGGGGTGTCAGTAGAAGTAGATGAAGTATCGGTAGAACTTGTTGTTGATTCTGTTGAAGTTGTTGTTGTGTTAGTTGTGGCTGCTATATCTAAAAAAGTATAAAAATTTTTTTACATGTGTTAATAGTCCTTTTTTTTTATATATTTATTGATGTTGAAATATAGTTTTAATTAATTGTTTTTTTTAACATTTATAAACGTTTTATATATTTTAGAACTGTTAAAACATAGTTGATGATTGAAATAAACAAATTTTTATTTATTAGTTGGATTTACTGTTGTCTAATCTATTTGTTAAATGTGTCTTTTGTTTTTTATATGTATTTGGTTAATGATGAAGTTATTTTTATAGAGCAAATAGAAACGTTGTCAAAACTTTTTCTCTTTGTGATTATTTATATTTGAGGTACGACTTTAAGGTTTTTTTAATTTTAATACACAAGTTTATAAAACACAAGTTTAATAATTTAAAAAGGTAAAAGTTTTTGAGGTAGATTGAGGAACTTAAAACGGTCGAATGTTTTAAATGCTTGTGTTAAGCATCTTATTGAAACTGTAAAATTATTATTGTCTATAGAAATTTCGTTTATTTGTTATTTCATTAAAAAAAAATGTTTAACTTAAGTAGGAAATATAGATCTACCAAACCAGGTTAAATATGTCTTTTTTATCCTTAAGACAGAAAATTATACCTATCAGCAAGGATTTTAGCTAATTTTTTTCAGTTTGATAGAGAGAGCAAACAACTGTAACTGTGGTAGCACAAAATGCTTTTTTTATTATAAATACGTGAATGATTTTTAAATGGAATACTTATGATTCTCTTTAATGGATTTAAAAATAGAAAAGCGGAATACTCTATGTGGTTCCTTAACCATTTGCAAAATCGTAATATGTACTAGGTGATGTTAAAACTTGTTTAAGTGCAGTTGTTATTAAAATGGATGATTTTACAAAAAAAAAATCTGTATGGCTTTTATTTAGTTTTACGCCCTCTAATATAATTGTTCATTAATTGAAACTAAAACCCCCTTCATAATTCCTTTTATGGATTATCCGTCTTCAATAAATTCTGAAACTTCCATCTGGACTTCTAAGAACTTACTAAGTTCTATTTACTAATCTTGGATGTGAACACAGGTTTTTAAATATTTTCCAATCAATCAGTTTTTTTTCCTTTACCTTTGCTTCATTGAAGAATGGATTCACATTCATTCACTGTGAGCATTCGAAGCAGAGCAATAAACTTTTTTATTTTATTTTTCGGAAGTACCGAAAGAAATAACGTTACAGCTATTTGATAAAATATTCCTTTTGTTCAATTATGATTTAAAAGTCTCCACACAAAAAAAAAAAGATTACCAAACTTAATATAAAAATATTTACAAACACAGAACTGTATAAGGTGTTTTAAATTTACAACATCATTTTCATTTAGTTCATGCTGTGAACATCAGATTCTTAAAAGTATACTTGCCAGGTTTAACCTGCATAATATTTGGGACGAACTTGATTTTTTTTATATCGCCATTATTTTTTTTTTAGATTTTTTTAGTTTGGTGTTGATATTTTTAATTACTAGAGCTTTTGAAGTTTTTTTTTCTTTATCAACATTTAATAAATTAGTTTCAATATCTATATCTCGAATTACGTTAGTGGAAATTCTGAGGTCATTGGTAATACGGACAATTTTATCAATATTGTTAGAACACTTGTTGTTTGAAACTGTTTTTCTATTAATATCTAACAATAAGTGCCTTGAAGGTAGTTAATTTTCCAAATAAGTTTGAACTTTACCTCCTTTAAAAAATAAAAAGCATGTTAGACTTGTCTCTAGTTTATTTATACATGCTATGTGACGCAAGTGTTTACCGTCTTGTATTTTTTGCATGTCTAAGTTTTTTTATTACATGTTTATATAATATTCTGTATTAATTGAACAAACTACATTTTTTTTTTTTTTGGATCAATTTTTTTTGTCAACTAAATTAATTGTCTAACACGAGCTACTTTACTTTAGTGATGTTGAAATATGTCTAAATGAAATCTTATTGATAGCTTTTTTTAACTTAACTACTAGATTATTGTGTGCACCAATTTTCAAAGAGTTTTTAAGTTAAAACTAATGTTTAAAATGATAGAAATTCTTTAGTTCCATATGCTTTAATAACTATATTTCCATTTCTAATAATTTTGAGTTAAATATTTTCTGATTTGGATAAAATATTTTCTGATTTTCTAAAAAGAGATCAGGTAAATAGGTAAAAGAAACTGTCTTTAAAAACTTGGCTGGAAATTCATATTTTGTTTACAAGTGTTTATATTAAATGTTTTTATCAAATACTTTTGGTAATATATGAAACCCCAAGACATTGGGTGTCTTGGTGCGCAACTTTTTTTTTTAATATAGCAAATTGTAAAAACTAATTTAAAAATTAAAAAAAAAAATTAAAAATTCACATTTCTACGCCTCTTGTACTAAAGCATGGCGGTCTTCAGTTCAAAATTATGCTTTATGGTGATGAACAAAAAACATGTAGGCTTTTATATATATATATATATTTTTTTATACTTAAGCTATTTTTTGCAACATGGTGAGTTTAAGTAAAGTTTTTGAATAATATTTCCCAATTTTTTCATTTTTAAAATGTTTTAAAATTTTAAGCCAGTCATATGTTTTTAATATTTTTTATGATGTTTTGTTCAGTTATACATACAAAATCTTCAGCACCATGCTAATTTTTGTTTTCAAAACATTTATAAAGTGGAATAGCCATAATATACAGGTATATATATGTGTGTATATATGTACATACATAGATGCATGGCCTACTTAAATTACACGGCCTGATATGTTGCATTTTCCGTAAAAAATTAAGAGGCCAGTTTTTTTACGGCTCAAGTATAAATACTAAATTTTCGCTATGGTTATGAGTTTTATTTGCATTATAATTGGTTTCTTCTTATTTTATTAAAATGGTTTAATAATAGTTATATTTTATTTGAGTACTTACATTATTTTGCTGGATTTTTTGTTAACTGATTGCTTGCTTCAGTTTATTCCAATTACACAGAATACTGAAATAGGCCTTCAGAAAGCTATAATGTACCACGTACCTAGTACACATACTAGGTACGTGGAAATATCCGTTTTACGCAATCGAATATTGTGCAAAAAAACTGTGCCAGGCTTTTTAGATTTTTTTTTTTTAGCTAGCGTAGGGAAGACGTGTTTAGTTGAAAAACTTTTTAGAATTTGATATCAATATAGATTATTTTTAGAAACTAGAATAGTTAAATTTTATCACTGTGAGGTTTATTATTTTACTAGATGGCTTTTTTATTGAGTTTTTTTATGTCTAAAACTTTGTTGTACTTTGAGCATAAAATTAATGTCGAAGATATGCTCTTTTTTTTTCTATACTATTCTTTTTTTTTAAGTTTTTAATTTATCTATGCACCTGGAAAATTTCATTGAAAAAAAAATTGTAGCAGGGTGTCTAATTTTTGTCGCATTTTTGGTACCTAATTTTCATTTTGCTGAAGTTGTCGCGGGAGGCAGAGGGGTTAAATAAACATTGTTTATATTTGATTTTGATTAAATAAAATTTTCAGTTTTTTTTTTAGATTAAATAAAATGGAAAGTAAAGATATTGATAAAAATTTTTAATATTGTTTCCTATTTATTATAATTTTAAAAAAATTATTTGCCTTCAATGTAAAGTTATTAAATGAATTTTAATGTTTCCTTACTTTAAAGTTGAATTTTTTAAAAATGTAATTGACATATTAGTAATATTATTACATATTTTATCTAACATTGTCGGTCTCTCCAATAACAATTGCAACAATATGCTACTACTTGTTATATATCAGTAAATATGTATAAATATATATATATATATATATATATATATATATATATATATATATATATATATATATATATATATATATATATATATATTTACTGATATATATCAGTTAGTTATTTTAAACATTCAAAATTCATTAGTTTCTTTTAACTTAAGATCAATAGATTTCGTCTAGACAAATGTTTTTATTATTTTGTTAAAAAAAGTTTTTCATTCGTTTTTTAGATGATACTTTTGAGAGGTTAAGTCAGTTTTTTTTTGCGATTTATTATTTTAGTATTTAGTCTTTTACTCTCAATATTCAATTATATATCTTTATTATGCTATGTTTTTTGTGCAGATTTTTGTGCATCCACAAAGTTTTTTTACAATTTTTTATTTATATGTTCCTGATTGTTTCATGTTTTTTATTGAATCATTGTTATTTTATTTTCTATAGTCAATTTAGAACAAACTATTAGTAAGTAAAGTTTGAAATATTTAAGTTATTTAGTCATTTAAACTTTTTTTTTTTTTTGTAATGTTAGTGTCATAATTTAATCTTATAATGAAGTAAGTAATTTAAAGTTGGCTTTTAGGTGAATTTAGACAGCAGATTTGTAATTTTAGTAAATTTTAACAATTTCAATAAGTTTAATGATGCTAAAGATTATTACTTAATTGATACACAAGCTAAAGGTGTTTACTTTATTGATACACACTAGCTAAAGATGTTGTAACGAAAATTGTAACTTGAAATTAAGTTTATTTTAAACATTATATTACTATTGTTATTACTTATTTCTTTTTAATTCTTTAGCAACACCTCATTAATTGGTAAGAGAATAATGTGTATTTTTATGTGTATGTATTGAGAAATATAGTCTGATTTTGTGTATTATTGATATGTACTATGTTATTGTATATTTAATATGTACTATATATGTATATTTATTATGTAGTATTTACATGTATCATTTAATCTTTTGTGTCATTGTATTATTCAATCTTTAATATCCTTGTCATCTGTGG